ATACTAGATTCAAGATCTAAATCTAGATCTATGTAATATAGTAGATCTAGATCTAGATCTATAGCGACGTCTTATCTTAATGGCAACACCCGAGGCGACAGAAAGTAGCACTGCAACTGGTTGAGCAAAATCAATGTTCTTTCCTTGCCCTCACTGCAACTGATATTTTCTGGTACGTAGTTGCTAATCTAGCCTCATTCGTCGTCTTCCCGGGTCGTTATTTTTTATTTTTAAAATATTACAACACTTACTCAGTAGAATGTAGTGACGGAGCATTGACTTATTTTTCGTTTCAACACTTTTTTCAACTTCCGTGTTTCGAGTACTTCCGTTTTCCTTCAGTGCGCTCACACCGCCCAGCAAAAGTTACTCGTGTCTAGAAAGTATACTTGCTCTCTCGTCCCATCCCGTCAGAATACGAGACAGAGAGCAGTCGACGCCATTCTTGTCTGTCTCTAACCTTGGCACAGTTAGACCATGGGTGATTGCCTCATCCATGATTTCTTTTCTGTAGTCTCCAGTTGGTCTACCTCTTCTTTTTTTCCAGTTAGTATCCAATACCACGTCTGGTTGGACAATTTTGTCTCAAGCATTCTCAAAATAATGTTCCCAAATCTCCTTCTTCTCCTTTTTATTTGATATCTTCCATCCCAGCCAGTTCCAACACTTCAATATTTGTAATAAATTCATCCCATTTTATTAATGAAATTCTTCGGAAATGTTTCGTTCGAAAGCTCAGACACTGGTGTTGAAAACTCCTTTTCTGGATTTTGTTTCTATACTTGTGTTCACTTCCACGTGTTTCTTAGTTGTAAGAATGCTCCCCTTGTCTTGCATTTTCTAGTCTGTTCCTATTCCTTCAGCCTTGACTTCAACGCTACCAAAGTAAGTAAAGGAATCAACTTCCTCTGGAGGAATTGTGCCGATGGTAATCTGATTATTGACGGTGGTGTTTTTAGTTGGGCTTTTCTTTTTTGTTTTTTTTTTGTTTGTTTGTTTGTTTTTTTTGTTTCCTAAATGTTCCTGGTGGACTCCACGAAGAAATCTTCGAGCGACAGCCAGACTCTTTTTCGGCTCCTTTGTAATATACTTAGAGGCACCTCCGTCGTCCAAATAACTCCATTCGAATTGCAATTATTCCTTGACATTCAAACATATGTTTGACATCCTCCTTTTCATGGCCGCATCTTCAGCAATGTTGGCCGAACTCTTCATGTACAAAGTGATGGTGGTGTTCATCCTGAGCATCTAGTACCTAGGTCTTGTTTGGATGTACTTTAAGGTGTGTCATCTATTCGATATTTACAAGATCTAATTTCTCCTTTATCTCTTGTTGTCTATGTAAAAGTATAGAAAGATCATATTATGCAAAGTCCAGGTCTTCATATTCAGTCCGTAATGTCCACTGAATTCTTGTCTTTTCGTGCTTTGTTCATTTTCTTGTTCATTTTCATGATCAAATAAAAGGTAAGCAGAAACAAAAAAGGTGACAAGCCTTGTTTCACTCCTACGTGTATCTGGAAGCTGTCGTAAACTGACCTTGGTGGATGATTCCTGTTGGTGAAGATCGGAAAGGGAGGATCGAACACGAACCTGGAAGGAACGGTTCTTAAGAAAATTGTCAATGAAGGCAGGGAGGTGGCCGTGTAGGCCGAGAGCGTGCAGGTCTTTAAGAATTCCATACTTCCAGGTTGTGTCGAAAGCTTTCTCTCGGTCGAAAAAGACAACCATTATGTGGCCTCCTCTGGCAAATGTCTCGCGTATAAAAGTCTCTAGGCGGACCAGGTGATCTAGATCGAGTGGATCGAGTTTTCTTGAATCCGCACTGGAGAACGCTCATCGAGCTAGTCGTCTCTGAAATACGCCTGAGTTGCCTGCTGGCATTGGTTGGTTGTTTTTCTACAAGTTTACATTGCCAGGTCGTTTAGACGATTGGTCTGCTGTTAGGTGGAGATGTGTGGTTTTCGTTTGGTTAAGGAATTTGAATGGCAATGATAAGTCTCCGGAATTCCTGAAAGGTGTGCGACAGCCACATGTCATTGTATATGTGAGGCAGCGTGGTGGAATCAGGCTCTCGTCAATTTTTGGGCATGTAGAGTTATTGGTATAATCTCAAAGGTTGTTCACTTGTGTTTATTCGGACGTAAAAAAATATCATTTATCTTGAATACAAGTCGAGATATTTGAGAAAGAAGGAGGTGGGGGTCACCAGTTTTCAGAGGTAAAATTAGTGAGAAAATGACCGCCAAAGATAAGTTATTTCCTTAGCTTAAGAGTCCGTGGTATCTGAAAATTTACATTTTTGTGCCTTCAATCAACGTTTTTTAGAAAAATTCACACAGAAATGAGTTCTTTAATGAACATGAAAGGTGTTGAGCCAAAAAACAAAAATTTGATAAAAATTCACAAACCATCGAGAAAATGCAAGTTTCTTCACTTTGATTATTTTGACGAGAGCCTGATTCCACCACGCTGTCTCACATATGTATAGTAGAAGTGTGAGTGTTTCTGTGGGTAAGTGTCCAATGATCTGGTTGTGGATGTCATACGGACGTGGGGGCTGTATTGTCGATGTCCGAGATGCAGGAGGTTAGTTCGTCTAGTCTGAGGTCTGCGTTGTAGGTTTCGGTGTTGTTCGAGAGGAAGTTTAAGTGGTGTTCTCTGTTTTGATATTTTGGAGGGTGGCTCTTTAGTTTGTTGTGGGTGTATTTTACTAAAGATATGCAGCTATGGTGCTTGCCATGTCTATCCGTGTTTCTGCTGTTGTGCTATTCGACGTCTCTGTGTGCTGGATAGTGTATGTGCGCCTTCCTACAAACTTTTGAATTATTTTAAAAATTTGAGGATGGGTGTCGGACTGTTAATTTTCGAAACATACTTACTAAACGGTGTTTTTGCTCTCCTTTGGGGCATCTTCGTGCCTAAGCTCAAACTTTTTGGTATTCAGTTTTGTCTTCTGTGGTGTTGTTGTCGACGGCTGTCCAATATACTGCCGTCTTTTTCTTAACGGCATTATTGCACTTCCCAGAGAACCAGACCTTGTTTTTCTGGGGGGGGTTTGGAAATATTTTTGGAATGTGTTTTTGACATAATTTTTCGAGAACCGTTCCCTGAAATTTGCTGAAATTAAGGACAAGACATGGGTTTAAAATAAAATTTGAGAGCATTTAATGTCGAACCCGGTGTGCTTTTTCGAAGTTGAAACGTTCTAGGATCGGATAGCTTTGGAGGCTAGGGAATTGGTCCTTACGGTCATCCAGCACAGACCTCTCAAAATCTGGGACCTAGTCAAAATAACCATTTCGGTGTTTAAGATTTTCACTTTGTTTTTCTAAGAGGTTTTTGTCACAATATCATTTCTCCTGCTATCAGTATCAAAATAAACAGGATGACCAACCATCATATCATGTTTTAAAAAATACGATCATTTACTAGTCTTCTGGTCGACGGGTTTTCGTTTGAATAAACTTACCCTCCGAAAATCTTCGTTACCAAACGAGCCGAGCGAGACGATCAGCCTGAGTACCCTGTTGTCCTTTTCCCCAAAGGATTGTTAAATAATAGCCCTCAGTGTAAAAGAAATAAAAACATTTCAAAAGAGGAAGGAACACTGAACACAATAAATAGTATTTGAATAACAGTTGTCTATTTATAAAAATGTCAGCAATATTTTAGAGAAAACACAAAATCTACGCTTTGCGCGGCTCGTGTGCACTTTTCCAGTGCACAAACTCGCATTGTTGGTTTACCTGCAGTCTTAGATGTGGGTCTATGATGAGCTTGTTCATGCGTTCCTTAATAATTCTGTTGAGTTATTTACCTGCTATTGGTCATGTATTTATTTCTCTGTAGCTTATACAGTTTCTGGGCTCCCCTTTTCCTGTTGAATTTATGGAGGTGCAGTCTTCGGGGAATTCTTCCATATCTCAAATCTTTTCAAAAAGAGGGCGGAACATGTCGTGTGTTGTCCTTTTTATCTGTTTTTAGTGTTTTTGCAGTGATGTTGTCATGTCCCATCATTGTTTCGCTTTGGAAATGAGAAAGTGTCTGGGGTTTTTGTGATTTTTTTTGGTTGTTTGTTTGTTTGTTTTTTTGTTTCTTGGGGTGGGGGGGGTTGGTGGGTCACTAAAGATGTCCATGTCTGCAACTGATAGAGAAATACCTGGTGTGTTTTCTGGGGATGGTCTGTTTAAAAGTTCTGAAAATGCCGGGCCCATGTTTGTGATGGGTGCATCTTGTCATATAAATCTTTTTCCATCCTGGTCTTCATATTATGGTGTTTCTGATTTGGTACACTTCCCACAGAGTGTCGTGATTGTTTCATAGACTGTCTATGCCGTTATGTAACACACTGATTCCTGGTCTTTCTTATGTCATCATGTAACACATCGACTCTTGGCCAGTCTCGGCTAGATAGACCTTCTGTTATGCAACACACTGATCCCTGTGTTGTCTTAGATTTTCATGTAACACACTAACTCCTGATCTGTCTCAGCTAGATAGACATTCTGTTGTGTAACACAGTGATCCCTGTGCTGTCTCAAGTTATCATGTAACACACTGATCCCTGTGTTGTTTCAAGTTATCATGTAACACACTGATCCCTGTGTTGTTTCAAGTTATCATGTAACACACTGATCCCTGTGTTGTCTCAAGTTATCATGTAACACACTGATCCCTGTGTTGTCTCAGCTACACCTTCTGATGTGTAACCACTGAGCTGTCTCGTGTTATCATGTAACACACTGATCCATGTGCTGTTTCAAGTTATCATGTAACACACTGATCCCTGTGTTGTCTCAAGTTATCATGTAACACACTGATCTCTGTGCTCTCTCAAGTTATCATGTAACACACTGATCTCTGTGTTCTCTCAGCTACACATTCTGTTGTGTAACACTCTGCTACCTGGTCTGTCTCAAGTTATCATGTAACACACTGATCCCTGTTTGTCTCAAGGTATCATGTAACACACTGATCTCTGTGCTCTCTCAAGTTATCATGTAACACACTAATCTCTGTGTTCTCTCATCTACACATTCTGTTGTGTAACACTCTGCTACCTGGTCTGTCTCAAGTTATCATGTAACACACTGATCCCTGTTTGTCTCAAGTTATCATGTAACACACTGATCCCTGTGCTGTCTCAAGTTATCATGTAACACACTGATCTCTGTGCTGTCTCAAGTTATCATGTAACACACTGATCCGTGTGCTGTCTCAGGTGCTCATATAGCACACTGATTCCTGGTATGTCTCAGCTAGAACCTCTGTCAACGTACGTTTGCCCCCTCTCAGTCTCTTCTTTACTTC